AAAGGACAAATCAGCTCTGGTAGAGATAATGAACAGCAGGGAAGAAACCGGCAGAGAACTCGACTTTCCCACCAGGGTTTGCTTATTTGCAAATGCAGACTCCGATGGATGGCTAAGGACTATCGAAAGGTGACCCAGAAATGACTCACCACTAGTTTACTCGCAGTTGTTAGAAACAAATTTGTGCTCACTAGACCAAACCTAATAATAAGTGAGAAAGATGACTGAACCGAATGATTAGAGATCAATCCATTAATAGCATGACCTGCTATTTTAAAAACTCCTATACTACAGACTTTTACATAAAATACATTCTCCTTCATAACAAGAGGGAAAAACCAGACAAACAATTTTATTTCCTGCAGAGATACATTGGCTGTCACTGCAAAGGTGACCTGAGAGATGGCCATTAGGCCTCATTGCTTTTCTTAATGTCCATTTGGATCTCTCATAAATTGAGACCATGACATTATGAGAGTATTTATAGAGTAAATACTATCCAGCACACATCTGGGTCCACCTTTCTTTAGGATTCCTGCCAATACATAGAAGAGACCTATTTGGAATTTGAGACTATATCCAGAGACTTCTTCGAAAAGCTATACTCTTCCTAAATTAATACTTTTTTTTTATTAACAGATGTAAATTTGAAGGGGAAATACCATATACTATAAGCCATCAGGGAATAGCCAGCCTCTACAGGATGACTCACAGTTTTCATGTGAATGGCAGCGATGCTGAGCTACAACTCTAAGCTCCTCCGTGCTCTAGACTGAATCATTCCCTCTGTGAACTCTGCAGGCGCTTTATGACAAATGTACACATGTGTATGCGGCATGTGACCTTGTTGGCAGTTATCTGCTGTGTCAAGGGCTATTGGCAGATGCCCAAGAATTGATTGACACATATCTTACAGAACTGGAGTTAATTAATATGTCTACCAATTCCCAAATGTACCACAGGAAACAGAAAAATCTGTTTAATACAGCAATCAATGACATACCGTGTGTGGTCAAAAGGCATACACTAGACAGAAAAATTGGATTTTTTTTGGAAGATACTATTCAAGAGTGTGTATATAGCTATCAAAATGCTAGAAGAAGAAAAAAAAGTCTATTTTTATAACAACAAGGCTAAACTTGATGATATTTCAGAATTTTTTTAATCACTAGAAATAGCAAGTATAATAATAAGCGATAATTTTCTCCAAAAGATTGAAAGCTATTAAATGATGAATGGGGCCTTGCATTTTTTTTCAAAAGCAGCATTTTAACTTGTGTGGCATTCTGCCACAAAAATATTCAGTTCATATGCAGTTTTCTAATGGTGAAGTTTCTACAAGCTTGGAAACTAAGAATAAGACAAGAGTTACTTTAAAGGAGGTATACTGCAGAGCAGAAGTTGAATATGGCAATGTTCCTGACAGTTTTCCTAAATGCTAAAAGCAAAGACCCTTCTTTTCTTAAAATACAATTATTTGTAGTCTAAAAACACTGTGCAAAATTATATAATACAATTATATTTCATTGTCTTTTTTGCATGTGAAACAGGTATCAGGAAAATATGCATGCAACTTCCAACCTAAAATCTAAAAGGAAAATCTTGTAACTGAAGAAAAGGAGGATATGAACATGAAAGGGAGCTGTGGGGTGGGGTGGGGGATATGGTTTGGAGACAGGAAGGAGGAAGGACAGAAGAGGTAATTATATTATAATACTGTAGACCATAAGTGTTATTTAAAAGGATTTTTGAAGATGGTGTTTTCAAGTTCCATGAGCGTGTGAATCTTGAGGAAACATTCTCAGCCTCTCCAGGCTTTCCATTAGTGTCATTCTTTTCTAGCAGTATAAAGTGAACATTGTCTCTCTTTCTCAACTTCATAAACAGCAAAATTGGTTAAAGCCAAGGATAGCATTTTAAGTAATAGTATAGATCAATTTAAAGCAGATTGTCTCTGAAGGCAGCTTAAGCATTGAAAATTAAATTTGATGTAGTCTAGACAAGCCCTGGTGATAATATCTTTTCCAGAATTTCCTAGATTGCCTGTCTAGACTGCTCCAAATTCCCCAGGTAATTGCATAATCATCTTCTTTCTGACCTCCTACTCTGGAATGGTATTTCATAATTTATAGTTTTCATGCAAATCAAAATCACTGAGCTTCTTAAAGTAGACCTGTCTCAAAGCTCTGAGTTTCTCAGGAAAAAAACTTGCACCTCACTATGTCATCTCAAAGAAGCTCACATTGGAAGCTAGGCTTATTTATTATTTCAGTGGAGGGGAGCCTGAGCAAATGGCCTGTAGCCGTTCAGTCCCCTAACCGCCCACCCAAAGAGCAGCATGCATAGTTGGCTTGAAATATGATACATTATTAACAACATGAAACAGCAATTATAGAAGGGGCAGGGCATATCACCATAGGAAAGACGACAGCAATTCGTGGATGATACGGAGAACTTTAGCATTAGTAGATACCAAAGTAGTGACAGTTTCAGATTTTGAAGCCATGAGATTTAAGACAAATACAGAAACATCTAGTAAGGATAGCCTAGTGGCATTATTTTTAGTCTCAGATGAGGGGAAAAGTAAATAAGAGGTAGGATGACAATTACTCCTGAGATGAACAGCAAAAGCTTTCGGTATGAGACACATACATTTTTTAGTATTCAGTGTTCTTGTGCAGCAATGCCTGCCTATCAAAGTTCCTATATCTTTATTCCAATCATCTATGTTAGAAACACATTTGCAGTAAAACAAGCAACTGGTTCTACATGGAGCAGCTAATGACAAGGAAAGGGCCATGAAAACCCTGGAATCTGGGGCCAGAAGAAAGCCGTGCCTCAAGTGAGATTAGAAGTTTGGAGCTTGTGTGGCACTAAGTGTTAGGAGGCAATGAGTTGAACTAATGTATGGATACCTAGGCAAAGATGCCTTTATTTTGTTTTACATACTATGAGCAAAGACTCCGAGATGTTAAGTAACTTTTCCAGGGCTTCCCAGTGGGTCAATTGTAGTATGAGATCTGAAGCCTGTTGTGATAGCAGTCTATGCTTGTCTGCTCCTCTGTAGTAAGAGTCCTGAATGTGCTGCTGTATCCTTGTGTGCTCCTCAGAAGGAACATTATGATGCCAGGTACAAACTGCACTATAGTGGAGCTGGTTTTTAGGATCCCTCACTGATGTCAGCAGTTTAGCATCGGGTGGTAGCATAGGGCAGTTATTTAATCAGTTTAGAAGCAACTAAAAGGCGAAAGATTTATACGATCTGAAGAGAGAAAGAGGAGGGTTTATATGAGCGAGAATTGTTGAAACCAAAGTTGGATAAAGCACAGGGACAAATAGCCAAACGAATGGAAACACATGAACTATGAACCAAAGGCTGAGGGGCCCCCAACTGGATCAGGCCCTCTGAACAGGTGAGACAGTTGATTGGCTTGATCTGTTTGGGAGGTATCTAGGCAGTGGTACCAGGTCCTGGGCTCATTGCATGAGTTAGCTGTTTGAAACCTAGGACTTATGCAGGGACACTTGGCTCAATCTGGGAGGAGGGGACTGGACCTCCCTGGACTGAGTCTATCAGGTCGATCTCAGTCCTCGGGGGTGGCCTTGATCTGGAGGTGGTAGGAAAGAGGGGTGGGCTTGGGGGAAGGGGAGGGGGGCAGGAAGGGGGAGAACAAGGAAATCTGTGGCTGTTATGTAGAACTGAATAGTGTTGTAAAATAAAATAAATTAAAAAAAAAGGAAAAAAAAAAAGAAGCAACTAAAAGACTGTGTGTTATCTATAAGGCCATGTGTGTGAACCAGTTCCTAATTCCCTCAATGTGAAAAGGGGAACTTAAAGAGGAGCCCCTTTCCTAAAAATCATGTCATGATGAAACATCTTGTTGATATCAGCAAATATTTCATATATAATTGTGAGGAAGAGAAGGAGGAATACAATGCTAGGTGGGCACAGGCCGACAATTTACCTGTATGGGTGTGTTCTCAGGAAATTATCCTAAACTTTCCAGTCTCCTGAGGGAAGTAACAGCAGAAACTGCGATACATAACTGGTTTTAGCATTGGAAACTCACAGCCCGTGATGTGTCACCTTCCATAAAGAAGATAAAGCATATAATGTTTTGCTTTCTTGTCTTTGAAATCAAAACACGCATCCCTATCCCATAGGACACTTTAGGAAATAAGCAGGAGCCTAGTGCTTACCATATAAGTGGCTGCATGAGAATTTGGTTGTTATCTTTAGGATTCCAGAAATATTCTGTGAACAAATTTTTTATTTTTTGAGCATTTCTGAACTCCAATTTGGAGGAAAGCTCTGTCACGTATCACTTCCTCACCACACGAACACTGTTGTTCTGAAGAGTCAGAGCCAAAAATGACAATGGTCTTTATAATTGAGACAACTGAGAAACCCAGCTCAACATGCTCCTTCCAATGTTAGGAAGGTCTCCTTGTTTTAATTATGATTTAAACTTATTTAACTATATTTCTCTCACTAAACTTTCCCTCTGTAACATCTTTAGTATGACAAAATGCATTTTTTCTTTCCCATGCCAATATAATAACCAAAAATATAAAAGCAATACCTAACAAAGCAAAAACCCAAATGCGAGATTCCATCCTTGAAGGCATATATAGAAAGTATCATTCTTAGTCCTGAATCAAAAACCAACAAAACAAAAGAGTAAGAGGAAGAAACCTTTGACTGAGAAAGGGATGGAGGGAGGGAGGATGGAGAATACATTCAGATTGCCCACATGTGTCTCCCACACAAAGGACGACTCTGAAATCCAGGATGAGCACAAATGCTTTCTCCCTTTCTCCTGCCACATGGGTATTGATGAGTGATGCTCTCTCTGATTTATACACACAGACTAAAATTAATAGCCGCATCTGAATTTGCGAATAGTGAGCAGGAGACCAAATGAGCTGAAAAGATCAGCAATGAAGACTTTGGACAGGAGGGGGGCAGGGCGAAAAGCCTTTTTATAAGTCAGCCTTACCTCAGGATGATGTCCAACCTCAATATACGTGCAAACTGGATGAAAAGCCCCAGTTCCACAGGCATACAAGTGAGTGTGATTATAAGCCTTCAGGACCTTGATGAAATTAGCACATTCTTTCTGCAAAACAAAAGGCAAACCAGTTAGTTCCAGCAGTCACCCTGACTGAGGAATCTAGGGTGCTGGGCAATTTGTGGCAGACTTTGTATGCATCTCTTTCCCAGAGTTTTTTAGGCTTAATTTTGATTTTGCTATTCTGTTTACAGCATTGCATGAATTAAGATAAAACATTCTTAAACTTTGAGGAAACAAATATAATATACTGTGTTGGCTAGTTTTATATCAACTTGACACAAGTTATAGTTATCTGAGAAGAGTGAACCTCAATTGAGAAAGTATTTCATAAGATTTGTATGCAAACTAGCCTATAGGGCATTTTCCTAATTAGTGATTAATGGAGAAGGACCCAACCTATGCTGGGTGGTGCCTTCCCTGAGCTATTGGTCCTGGGTTCTATAAGAAAGCAGGCTGAGCAAGCCACGGGGAGCAAGTCAGTAAGCAGCAGCCATCCACGGCCTCTGCAACAGCTCCTGCCTCCAGGTCCCTGCCCTGGTTGAGTTCCTGTCCTGACTTCTTCAATAATGAACAGTGACATGAAGTATAAGCCAAGAAGACCTTTACATTTCCAAGATGCTTTGAGCACGGTGTTTCATCACAGCAATGATAACCCCAACTAAGACATATACCCTTCCCTAACTCTTTCACTAAAACTTTTCTAAAACAATCTCACCTAATGGAATAAATAGTTCTGGGTTGCCAACATCATGGATGACTTTTCCCACAGAGAGGACAATAGCAAATTCTCGAGATAACAAATTATTCCAATGAGGTGATGGTAAGATTCTCCATACAAAAGTGACTTTTGAGTTTCAATTTAGAAAAGGGGAACAAAAATAAAAGATAGCATGTAGCTAATCACCATTTGTGATCTAATCTTATTTCTTTCTAATGAGTTGAAAGAGTTTTTCTAGGATGTTCATAGTTTTCTGAGTTATTTTTCAGTTGAATATTTAAAAGTAAGCCCTACGGCTGGAACTATATAAATGCAGATAAACTCCCCATGCAGACTACTGTATAAATGAGCTTGGTTCACAAAATGGAGAAGCAGGTTGATTCTTCTGTTCCTAAGTGTGTTGTGCCCTCAAAGCTTTCATGTGACCCGTGACTTCTCAGGTGTGAACTCAGAAGGCATCTGGCCTTATGCAGTCAGTCCGAGTTTATAACTGGAGTGTTATAACAATCTGAGTACATTTCCACATGGCATTTGCATCCAGTACCTGCAGCTGATGACTTCGGTCTTAACTCCATTGGCCCATAAAATAAGGAGCAGGCAACTTCAGCTAAGTAATTGACATTTAAAATCAAGAAAGTGCCTGCTGTTCATTCTGTCTGGTTGTACCAGGGTGAAGCCTGATGCTGTCCTTTGAAAAATATATTTCTCTAAAGATCGATTGGACTTACTTAACACAAAATACAAGTTTTAGATGTGAGTTCTCATGCTTTCTTAACAATAATGTGTAATTTGGACAGGTAAGAACTACAATAAAACACTTCTTAGTTTTGTTAAATTGATTCAAAATGTATTTTTTTTTCTTTTTTCCTGACTGAAGTCAACTGACTTTGCAAATTGCTCTGACACAGGGAAAATTTTCTGGCTGAAAGGGTACATGTATTCCCGTCCTTGCTCACTTTGAACAGGTTAGCTCCTGCTCAAAAGATCCTTGCTCTGAAGCAGATAAAGCTTCGCCTCCACTGTTGAAGCACAGTCCGTTCTGTAACAGCTCCTCCTCCTTCCCCTACAGGACCCAACATGAACGCCTATGCAGAAGAAGGAGTTTGGGGAAAGGAAACATCTGATAAATTCATTTACAAATGAAGCATTCATGGGTCTGCCCACAGGATATATTTGTACTCCTCAAAAAAAATATGTCATTTTCAAAGAAGCCATTTTTAGAATTTTTTTGCTTTGAAATATGTAGGTGGCCGTGTATTCTGCTTTTACAGAGACAGTCATCCCTCAATGTGGGCTCAATATTGTCATATTCAAGATGATAAATAGTGAGTTCCAGTACCATATGTCAAAATCAAGATATTGGATGTGCATGCACGGGGAAGCAAATGGATGTTCCAGTAAGTAATAGTTTCAGACCCAGACAGATGCCTTGTTCATTTCAGAAGAGAACAGGACTTCAGTTGGTCTGTGTGCTTGCTTGTAAAGACTCACATGCCATTTTACATACAAAACTAACTTCTCCAATTCCATTATTCACATTTAATACCTACTAACAATTTAAAAATAGACCATGGTTCTCTGTAGTATAAAAAGAAAACATATTATGAGTACAAATACTTGGAAACACAAAGGAAAGGTCATGTTACCCTTACCACTGTTATGAATTTTAATAGCATAGCTTTTGTGAGATCATTATTTCTTATAGATTAGATAACCAGTTAGCAATTTACCAACAACTAAGTCTATCTTTCCAAAGAAACTAGCGGGTTATAATTAACACAAGAAAAACTCCCAAAGCACTTGAAAGCCACAAAATTGGACCACATTGAATATCAAATTCTCAATTTGTTCTCTATTAACTGTTAAATAGGGAACCACTATACTATGACAGCCATTCTTCTACAAAGCTTCTGGAACAAAATCAATCATGGGACTGTAGCTGAGAAACCTGGCAAAGCGTCTGACTGAGTGTGCTGATAACAAGTGAGTCTATCTGAGTTACAGAAAACGGAGCCCCACCCTGTTGGCCCACGGCCTAGAATGATCTCCTTAATTTCCCCACTGAACTCTCACAGTTGGCAGCAAATTGTACTGTTTGCCATGCCCTGGGGCTACCTTAGTATTATTTTCAAAGTAAAGGTTGATGCAAATAGAGTGGGGAGCAATTTCTTGGGCTTAGAGGGTAAAAAGATGGTTGTAGGAACACAAAGGAATGGAAGGAAATACTTTCAAGATTGGTTTTAAAATAGCCAAAGGAAGAGTCCTCAGCAGCAATGGAGGAGGAAAGCAGACAGAAAGAACTGAACAAAGAGGAACCAAAAACTTGAAGGATGTGGCAGAAAGGATCTGTTCTTCCGAGAACGTCTACATAAAAGCCTATCAATACTGTCATTCATTTGCCTTCCTTTCCTAGTCATGGCTGCCAAGGTTGGTGAGTGTTCCAAACAGGATATTCATTTTATTCTGAGGCTGCCTGGACATTCTTCTGAACTAGAAGGAAGCGTGGCAGCAAAAGGAAACACACTTCACACGTTGCTGCTCTGGGGAGACAGAAGAGGAGTGTTTCTGACCTTTCCTTGAACCATGACGTTTCTCAAAACTCAGAATGTAATGTACTTTTTGGCATTAAACTCCTGCTCTGCCTTGCTCCACACTGGCGGATTTACAGCTCAATAAAGACAGTGCGGTCAGCTCCAAATGAATTCATTTTTCAAGTCTTGATCCTTTTGGAACTGAAGTTGATATACACAGATGAATTTGGTAACAAGTTGATGTCCTGAGAGCCAGTCAATCACAGGGACCTTCAGATCAACAGTCCCCCAAAATCATTAGTTTAGAAGTAAGAGCAGTTATAATCCAATAATACCCAAGCCCACACCTGAGGGCCATGATAAATCAACCTCTATGACAAGCTGTTTGAATTTGAGTCTTAGGGGTTTCCAGCCTTTCTGGATCACATGAATAGAAGAATTGTGCATAAAAATATGATCTTGAAGAATAGATGTAAAGAAAATACCTATCCCTGAAAAAGATCTAGGAGCTGAAAGCAGAATGAATGGAAAAACAAGCATCACAGATCCAGATACGGAGCATTGATTAGACTGTGCTGCAGACTTTTCCTGGACCGTTACAAAAATAAAGCCCTCCATCTGTCAAAACAACTGCGCCATGCATGAAAATTAGAACAGAGTGGAGGTGTTTTTAACTAACTTCCCATCATTACACTCTCTACAAGAGAATATAATTTACCTACAATTCCAATTACCTCCTTCCCTGTTCTTAAATTATGTATGAAATAGTGAAAATTTAATCTAAATAAAGAAGTTGCTAAAAAAAAATGGGGATGAGACTGTGAACATGAACAATCTCTATTCAAATCTATTCAGCTCATGATTAAATCAAGCAAACTTGTTCTGGTTCAAATATAAATGAGCCCCAAATGAATGGGTAGAGAGTAGCACTGCCTCAGGTCAATGACAATTCATTTGAAAGGAAAAATCAATAGTTCCTGTGTCATCAGCCATTTATGTGGAATTATTTTACTGTATAACATAGCAGCTGGGAAAGCAAAGGAATCTGTCTATCAGATGGGTGGATACACTCTGCAGGAAAATCCATTAATAAGCTTAATTCCTGAGCTTAATCTGTTGGCTCTCTTTTCTCTGGTCCATTTATTTGGCAAGCTGGCTGGGTACTCTGAGCTTCATGCCAAAGCAGTAATCCCTGAGATTGTCCCTGTCACTCATTCGGTCCTTCCTTCTAGTCGAGCTTTCCCATATTTATCTGGAAGCAATGCCCCATCTTTTTCTGTTCTTAAATTGTGCTGTTACAGCTGTGATCTGACCATCCTTATCCATGTCTTCCTAATACTTCAAATTCACTACAGGATGTTGGAAATCTTCTTCAAAGAGATATGCCTCATAAAACAGTTACACCGTATGTTCTCATTTTTGAATTGCCCATCTAATGTTGAACTTGTGACTTCTACCATCCATGCCTTTTAACAGGATTCATCACTCAAAGAGAGATCCAGACTGTCTTTACAGTGCAGGAGGAAGAGGAGCTGGAGAGAAGCCCAGCCTTTAAAGGACAGTTGGATGTATTGTCACACATCCCTTACTCCATCCATGGTGTTTCATTTCAAAAGTTAGGTTTAGTTTTGGTAGGAGCCATTCATGTCCAAAATACTGGAGGATATTATATAGCCAGAAATATAAAATGAGCATACATATCCCTTAGTAAATATAGATTCTCTCTCGAGTTTAGGAAGCACAGCACAGGCAGGATGTATCAGACTTCCCCTGGTAGAAGTAGATAATCCATTAGA